TCATTTACCATATAGTTTTAAGTAATTTAATTTATATATATATTTATTTAAAATATAATTATGAAATGGTGATTCCTGTGGGGAAAATTTTTACTATTTAAGACTGCCATTTTAAATTTATTGTCTTAAAAATGTTTTGGCTTTGATGCTCTAACTGAACTTACTTTCTTTTTAGTTATTCCAGAGGATCTACAGAACGTAAGATGTTGCCACAAACTACCTCATGGATTATTCTCATTCACTCACTAGCTGCATGGTTGCGTATTGGAACAGGATGTCTACAGACTGTTGAAAAGCTTTGAAGAACCTCATTTGTTGAAAAGCTTTGAAGAACCTCATTAACACGGGATGACCTAGGAGTGACTCTTAAGTCTGCAACAAGACACTGATTCATTAGTGAATGTGGCAGTCTTGGTTCTGAATGCTGCAGAGAACAGCACATAGAGCATCTCCTTTATTTCTGAAGCATTCACTTGACCTTCCATCAGTAAAATTGACTTTTCTAATCTGTTCCTGGAGATATTAATGGAATACAATCATGTCCACTCAAGACGAGAGGCAGGTCAATAGTGAATATGCTGTGTCCTTGTTGGAACAGTTAAAACTCTTTTATGAACAGCAGCTGTTTACTGACATAGTGTTAATTGTTGAGGGCACTGAATTCCCTTGTCATAAGATGGTTCTTGCAACATGTAGCTCTTATTTCAGGTAAGTAAGTATTTTAGTTTTGATTACTCATATTAGCTTAGTTTAAGACAAATTAATGCATTTTAAATTTAAGTAAAAAATAGATACTGTGTTTTGCCAAAGTTTTGTATTGAGATGATTTAGTGTGTGCCAGATCATATCTTTGTATGAGTTAAGTTTAGAACAGAAGAAAGTTTAAATGTAATACTCTAATTCTACAGAGGCAGAAAGATTGAGGGTACTATTTTCCTATTGAGAGAAAAATATTTTTACCCTTAAAATTTTTAAATTCTTCCATTAGAAGACTGGTCCTTATAAACTCATGAGTTAAAATAGGCGTGATAATTTTTTTTAAGAGGATAATTGCTGTTCAGACATTAAGAACTTTCTTTTGCATAAATATGTTTTTCTCTTGGTTTTTTTTTTAATCTTTTAGCTCTAAATGAGAGGGAAATGGAAAGTTTGTTGTTGGGTTTTTTTTTTAAGGGAATACTCTGCTTCAATTTAAAATGATGGAAAAACTGAGAGTAAGTATTAGTGTTATTTGCTTAACATGGTAAATATAATTAATGTTACTGAATCATACAGTTTAAAATTGTTACAATGTCTAGGTATTTTGTTACATGTTTTAACATGATAGAAATTTTTAAACAAAAAGAAAAGACTCTCCAAATAACTGGCACATTTTTGCCATGCATTGACTTAGTAATGTTAGAAATTCAAGATTACAAATTTAACCAATACTTGAATCACCCTCTTCCTTTTTGTTAGTGATTTTTAATAATAAATTACTTGCCATCTTTGTATGCCTAATAACATAATTGAAAAAGTTGGCTCAATTAGATGTCTTTTTTCTTTTTCTCTCTTCCTATCTCTTTAACCCGATTCTGTCAATCCTGTGGACAGAATAGAGCTGTTCAGTTGCGTTTCAGAGGTGGTAAATCTTTACAGAATTCTGCTACCCTGTCTTTCTCCTGCAGATTGGCTGGTGAATACTAACCTTTTGGTTGGCAGTTGAGGATGTTAACCATTATACTATCAGGTTGCCTTTTCTTTCTCATTAAATTTATCCTTTTTTTGGAGTTTCCCCACCCCTATTTTATTTTGTTCTGAATAAGACTTTATTTACATTCTGTAGCCCTATGTTGTTGTTGTATGCCATCAAGTCAGTGGCTTTTCAGGAGCCGTAAAGGGCAGAGGAGGAGAGCTCTCATCGTTCTCTCATGGAACAGCTGGTGGATTCGAACTGCATGCCGTTGAGATTGCAGTGCATCGAACCCCAATCTATTGACAAGTAACAGAATATCACACATAACTTTCTCTCTGCCATTCAGTCAGTTCCAACTCATAATGACCCTCTGTCAGGTTTCTGTAACTATAACTATAAATCTTTTTTGCACAGAACAACTGGTGGGTTCAGGACGCCAGCAACAGATAGCTTTCTGGTTAGCAGTACAACACTGCTATGGGCTACACCACCAGAGCTTTGAGATGAGTATCAGACAAATAAAATACACAAAGCAGGAGACAAACTAAATTACTGGGGTTTCCTAAAATTAAACTTAAGCTCATCACAAGCTTTCACTAAAAGAGTGGGAGGTGGGAGGTGGCAGGAGGAACCTACAGGCTAACAAATGTTTTTGGCAATAACATACATATCTGACAAAGGTTAATCTCCACTATATTTATGAAACTTCAGGACCACCTCAACAACAAAAAGACTATCCAGTCAAAAAATGGATAATGAAAATTAACAGATGCTTCGCTTAAGATGCTAACACATGAAAGATGTTTGTACTCATCAAATGTTGTTACATACTGATGAGTTGAAGGCGACAGTAAATTGCACAGAAGAGTGCCCATCTTTCTCCAGTGGAGCAGCTGGTGCATTCTAACAGTATACTTTTGTGTTGTAGCCCAGTTCCTTACCACTGAGCCACCAGAGTTCCTAAATAAAAACTACAAAGAGATACCATTTCATCCTCACAATAATGGCACTGAAAACCAAAAATGATAAATGCCAGAGAGGCTCCAGGAAATTGGAACACTGCCTGTGGAACTGTGAAATAGTGCAACCATTATGGAAAATGATATGTTGTTGTTAGGTGCCACTGAGTCGAGTACAACTCTTCAATGCTGTGAACAACAGATCTGAACCCTTTCCTGTCCAGTGCCATCTTCACAATTTCTGAAACATCTGAGTCCATTGCCTCAGTTACTGGTCAGTCTACATGGTGGAGGGTCGTCTTCTCCTTGGCTGTCCCGTCACCTTACCAAGCATGTCTTTCTCCAAAGAATAGCCTTTGGTAGCAGCATGCTCAAAGTATGTAAGATGTGAAACTTTATCATCTTTGCCTCCATGGAGTACTATGGCTGCAGCTTCTCCAAGACATATCTGTTTGTTCTTATGGACGCTTATGGGATATTGAGTACTCTCCTCACCACAGCTAGAGGTATCAATTCTTCTGTCATCCTTACTCACTGTCCTGTTCTCCGATGCACAGCAGGTGATTGAAAAGACAGTGGCCTCAATCAGGCACACCTTAGTCTTCAGACTGACATGATTGCTTCTTAATAATACAGAGAGGTCTCTTGAGTGCAGATTTTCCCAGTGCAATATGTCTCCTGAACTACTAACTGCTGGTACCAAGTATATTGGTTGTGGATACAAGTAAGATGAAGTTGACAACTTCAGTCTTTTCTTTGTCATGATGTTACCTGTTTTTCCAATGATAAGAATTTTTGTTTTCTTGACATTGAAGACTGCAATCTTTGATCCTCTGCAGCAAAGTGCTTCAAGTCCTCCTCATTTTCAGCAAGCAAGGTTGTGTAATGCAGACTATTAATGAGTCTTCTAATCCTGACGCCACATTCTTCTTCATAGAGCCCAGCTTCTCAAATAATTTGCTCAGCATACAGATCAGATAGGTCTGGAGAAAGGATACAACTCTGATAACAAACTTTTCCCAATTTTAAATCAGTCCGTGTTCCCTTGCTCTGTACAACAGCCTGTTGGTCTAGGTATAGGTTTTCACATGGGCACAATTACATAAGAGACAGAAATATTCTATGATCCAGCAATACTATTCCTAGGTATATATCTTTAAAAAATAAGAACAGTAACACACATTGATATATACATACTTGTGTTGATTGCAACTCTATTTAACAGAAAGATGGAAACAGTGTAAATATATGTCAGTTGAGACATTGGGATACTATACAACAATAAAGAAAATTATGAATTCACAAAATACCTAACAACACAGGTACATGCAACAGGTCACTATTTTTTAAAAGGTAAAGGCTCTCTGTTCCTTGTTGATTCTCTTCTCGTGCAGCCTCAGCCACAAACCCGAGACACAGTGGTGAAGGTCACAGTAAACAGATTTGGCCTCATTAGATGCCTTGTCATCAGGGCTGCCTTTAACTCTGACAAAGTAAATGTTGCCATCAGTGACCCTTTCTCCTGTAATTTCAACAGCAACACTCTCTGTGCCTGGAACAACCACTTAGTCATACTCATTTCCTGGTATGACAGTGAGTTTGGCTACTGCAACAGGGTGGTCGACCTGATGGTTCACATGGCTTCTAAAGAATAAGAATCCCTTGAACCACCAGCCCATAGTGCAAGAACAGAGAGACTCTTAGCTGTTAATCTCTAGCCATATAGTTATTATTTATCTTTAAAAATGTGAATTGTTCTTGTAATCCAGAAAGCTGATTATTTTATTACAATCTTAAAGGCAACAGCATCTTTTTAAGGTTGCCTCTGTTTCCTTGTTTGCTGCCTCTCTTCTCTTTCTTTATCTTTTGCACTTATTTTTCAGGAATTTTTTCAACCTCTTATTAAAATTTTGCCTAATTGAACTCTTTTACCTCAGATTGGTCATTGGTATTCTACATAGGTTTTCCTCCTTAATTTTTCAATCCCCCTCAGGTAATTTGTCCATAATCAATACTGTTGGCACCAGCTATTAGGAAAATATGCTATCAGGGATCTCTCCAGAGTGCTAAAAAGCAGCGATGTTAGCCTGGAGGCTAAGGTGCACCTGATCCAGGCCATGGTCTTCATGATTGCTTTTTTCAGAGAGCTGGACAATGACTGAGGATGACAGAATTGATGCCTTTGAGTTGAGGTGCTAGAGAAGAGTATTTAAATATCATGTGCCAAGAGAAGTAACAGATTTAACCTGAAGAGGGTGAAACCAAGTTGCTTCTTAGAGGCAATGATTTTAAAGCTCCATCTCACATACTTTAGGCATGTTGCCAGTCCTTAGAGAAGGACTTCATGCTCAGAAGGATGGAGGGACACAGCTCAAGAGAGGAAAATAGGATGAGATGAATTGACACAGTAACTGGTGTAATGAGGATAGAGGAGACCGTGAGATTCGTTCAGCATAGCACAGGGTTCACAGCTATTGTACGTAGTCACTATGAGTGCTATTGATTTGATGGCACATAACAACAGAAGATAATTTATCCAGCTTTAATTAACCATGTCCCTTTATAGATGGGTCAGTACACTGTATCAGTGTTTGTCTTCTCCAGAGCTTCAATATATTAAATATTTACATTTTACTCAATTTTACTTCAATGACTTTTCCTCCTTAATCTTAGGATTTTTTATTATTGGTAAACAATATGCTTTTCTCCCTAAGGACCACTATTGTTGCACTTCTCTTTTTTTACCTTTTTTTTTTTAAAAAAAAAAATACTGGTTTATTTATAAGGTGCATATATACTATTTTTCACATTGAATCTTTTCCAGTTCCTTCAGTCTTGCCTCAACCGTATGTGTTTATGCAAGAAATGAAATAATTTTACTTTTTATACATGCATCTCATTCCCCGTTTTTAGAAAATCACCACGTCTTGGCTTTTGTCATTTTCAGATCTGTTTCTTATGCCCTGGTTCAGGGTCTTCTGAGCTCTCATTTGCATCACTACATAGCTTTATAGTCAGTTTTCTTGCCTTTCAGCTTTTGAAGACTGTGGGTATAGATAATTTGCCTTGGAATTTCTTTTCACATCCTAAAGCCGTACTCAGCAACCCACATATGTCCTCCATGGGGGCGTGGGGGGGAGCTCTTACCTTTTTGTGTCCTCTTAAAGCCTCTGATCTGTCTATTCTCCATCTTTCCAATCTAATTTTCCATATCTTACAAGCACTCTGATCAATGACATCCCTTGCCTGGGCTGTTGTTATGGTTTGCCCTTAACTATTTTATACATTATGTTGAGTGTTTTCCTCATGCCTTAGGACAAGGCTAGTAACTATTGTGGAACCCGCAGAGGCATTTCTCATCATATATGCTGTTGTGTTGTGCATTGGGATCTCCTCCCATTTTTATACATAAGTATGAGTTGGTTGTGTATTCTCTGCCTCTGTTGGATTCCCAGTTTAGTTTTCCCTACATAACAGATTTTCAGGAAGTGCCCTACATATTTTAGAATATCATTTCAGTAAATGAATTTTTAACATTATTGAGATGTAATTTACATTTTATAAATTTGTGTTAAGTAGACAGTTAAGTCTAGTATATTTACAGAGTTGTGTAACCATCTTCATAATCTGATTTAGGGCATTTATATCACCATGTCCCCTTGGACAGTAGCTCCCTAGTCTTCCCAACAGGCCTAGGTAACTAATAATCTTAGGTGTCTGTATGCCTTTGTAGGATATTGCCTATAAATTAATAAATACATTAGCTTTTCAGTATCTTTTTTTAACTGAGCCTAATTTTTTTAAAAACCAAAAACAAAACACCACCTATTTGTGTTCTCAATAATATATACAACCAAACATGCACCAGAGCCATTCCTACATGTATGATTTAGTGACATAGATTCCATACTTGTAGTCTTCTTTCTCTTCTTTTCTGAATTGGGTTCCCCCCCCCCATTAATAGAAACTTCAACTTATTTCCATCGAGTTGGAATGGACTCATAGCTAAACCTCTTTTGGGTCTTCAGAGGGTGTAGAGTGGAAGAGATTATTACCCAGCTTTCTTCCATGGAGAAGCTGCTGGATTTGAACTGCCTGTCTTTGGTTAACAGTGCAGGTCTTTTCCCACTGGGCCACCAGAGTTCCGTACTATAAACTTGCTGTCTTCTTTAGTTCCTATCTGATCTTTCCAATTGGTATTATCAGTTTGATCTCATATTGATAGAACTTGATAGAGCACAATGCTCAAAGCAAATATTCTTTACTAGTTGATCTAAACATGTTTGATTTATGAAGACTTCCAGGGATACTTTTATTATAAGGTTTAAAGGTTGTCTCAGGACAGTAGTTTCAGGGATTCATCCAGTCTCTGTCGCTTCACTCAGTGCTTCTGGGGTCCATAAGAACTTTTAAAAATTCTGTTCTTCTTTTCCTGCCTGTTGATTCATAGAAACTTTCCTGTGGAGTCTATGATCAAAATGTTGAGTGGGCACCATGTACTTCTTTAGGCTCATAGCAAAGGAGACCAGTTAGCTATAGGGACTAATTAGCCACCATTCCATATCCTCCTCCTTATTCCCCCACTCCACTTTGTTGTATCAGGTAAGTAGAAACTAGTTGTGCCTTGGATGAATACTTGCTAAGTTTTAAGTGCATCCACCGCCACCCTGTTCCCCAGTGAACTAGAAGGTAGAATAGAAGCTCTAAACACATTATTGGGCTAGTTATCTGCAGTGACCCTGAACAGCCAAACTAATAAAATGAGCCTGGTGTTCATCTGTGTCATTGTGGTTTTGGTGGTGGTAGAGCTGCCATCTAGTTATCTATGACTCACAGCGACCCTCTAAACAACAGATCTAAATCCTACCCCTATCCTGTTTCATCCTACAGTCTCTGCTGTGCTCCACCCCATTGTAATAACCAGTCCTGCTTGTAAAAGGTCTTCCTCTCTCTGATCCTCCATGATGTCTTTCCAAGCAAGCATGGTGTCTTTTTCCAAGGGTAACCTGGCCCTTCCTGATGGCTCAAAGTGTAGATGGCATTTCACCATCCTTGCTTCTTAGGAGCACCCTGGTTGTATCTTGCCCAAGACATGTTTCTTTTTCACAGCCTTTGGAATATTGATTGAGTACTCCAGCACCACAATTCAAAGACAGTGGTTCTTCAGTCATCTTTATTCATATTCCAGCTTTTAGATGCATAATAAGCAATCAGCATTGTCTTGGATCAGACTCACCTTAGCTTTTAAATTGACATCCCTGTTCTTGTTCTTTTTCTTTTTTTTAAAAAAAAAAAATGAATTTTAATGAACATTTACAGAGATTTTCTATTTCTATTCATTCATTGTTGCACTTTTCTCCCTGCCCAGTCCTCCCCCCAGTTCGCTCCTCTCTTCTTGAAAAGTAAAAGTCATCCCTGTTCTTTTACACTTTGGAGAAGTCTTTGACAGTAGATTTCCCTAGTGCCCCATATCTTTTAATTTCTTGACTGCTGTTACCTTTGGTGTTGCTTGTAGATACAAGTAAGATGAGATATTGAAAACTTCAATCTTTTCTCCTATCATGATTTTTCCTCTTGGTTCAGTGATTCAGTGAAAGAATTTTTGTATTCTTGATAGTAAGATGTCATCTATATTGAAGGGGTTTTTTTGTTTGTTTTTTTGTTTTTTAGCTGTCGTATTAAATTGTCCAACTTGTATTTCTTTTTATTTTTTGTGGCAGGGTTTTTTAATTTGTTTGTTTTTGCTGCTTTTTTTTTTA